AGAATTGGGTATATTAAATATACCTGGAGGAGACATATTAAACACACTAGGAGGGGCATATTAAATTCCCTAGGAAGGGGTATATTAAATACGCTAGTATGGGGCATATTAAATACGCTAGACAGGGATATATATATATATATATATATATATATATATATATATATATATATATATATATATATATATAAATTTGGTAAAAACACACACGAACACTTGTGGGCAGACTACCAATTCTCTATATATTTGATTTAATTACAAGGTTTCCGAAAGACTAATAAACTTTAAGCTTTATATATTAGATATCGGTGATATATTAAGAATGATTATTGAAAACACAGTCCACACTTTGTTTGGTTTGTTTTTATGTGGATATCTTGTTGAGAATTAATAAGCCTTTCTAATTTAACTGCATTTGTATGTTTCGGCACAGAAATCTTCTCAAGGGCAAAACAAGACAGTTTTGTTTATTTTTGCAATTAGTTGTTTACTCTTTAACAGGTTTAAATTCTTTAGTCTCTGCACCCGACCTAGGCTGTTTGACATTTGTATTCAATTGGATATCAACATTCTCATTTCTAGTAGAGGACACCAATTAATCGTTACTTGATAAAAGAAGCTTCCTGTTTAGTTTTTTTTTTCTCTTGTTTTCTCTATCAATCACAACTTTTCTCTATACATACATACATACATACATACATATATATATATATATATATATATATATATATATAATTACAATATATATATGTAGATAGATAGATAGATAGATAGATAGATAGATAGATGTGTATAATTCTTTCTATATTTCTTCTTTCTATATAGTTATTTTTTCTGTGTCTGTTGCAGGTATATAATATTACTGCCTCGCATTCAGTAGATGTAGCAGTGTATCAATGGCTTGAAGTTTCCCACCCCTGCTTCTCCACGGTGGGACTTTATATCAATGCCGGAAACCTGCAATTTCCCAAATCATTGGTGGAGGAGTTCAAAATTGGGAAGGTACTCCTTCACATGATGATGAGGGACTAAGACCAGATATCAAAACTGGTACCAAATGGTCGGCAATAGAAACCATCCAAGAAGCAGAAAGGAACCTTCGAACCAATGAGATTATGGGGAGTAACCCAGATCAGACCTGGGCAGCACGAGTATCCAGTTTTTCTCCAAACAGGGTCCAAAGGTTAAACAAGACATAGTGATTGATGAAATCAGGAATTTCGAGGAAGATCAGCCAACAGCTATTGCTGTTTCTCAGGCCAAACAATGTGCTTGCACCACATGGAGTGATATTGATCTGATGAAGCTATCATGGCATACCGTGATTGCAATGGGGCCATTGGCAATATCATTCTTCCTGAGATCTACATATGATCCCCTACCAAATGAGACCAACCTCAAACGCTGGGGGTACACTGACACTGATGTATGCGCATTATGTCAAAGTGATCGAGGCACTTTACGTCACGTGCTCTCTGCATGCCCACAATCACTGCAGATGTACACGTGGCGTCATAACAAAGTGCTGAAAGTGGTCATGGACTTAGTGTGTGAAGCAGCCAACAAACAGCTTGTAACGGCCAGAGAACGTAAGAGACATTTTCACAAGGAAGGTGAATGCCATGTGCAAAAGAAGCAAATAACTCGCAACAAGAAACTACCGAGTGGATCCCGTCATTGAAGGGTGTTAGTTGATCTTAGAACACCACAGCAATTTACGGTGCACATCATTCAGACAGACGCACGCCCTGACATTGTAGCTTGGCATGGTTCAAAGAAGCGTGTCCTCCTAGTAGAATTAACGGTCCTCTGGAAAGGGAGCAGGGAGGGAAACCGCTAAGAATCGCTGCGATCCGACTGCGTGGAAAAGGTATGGACATGTCATGTGATACTTACTGAGGTCGGGTGTAGTGGATTCCTTGAACGATCATTCGTTTCCTTCCTTTTGAAGGTGGGCATCAGTGGCCAGAACCTGAAGCGTGCTTCACATCGTCTCCAGATTACAGGCATCGAGCAGGATCTGGTCAAGATCGAAAATAAATAATTTTTTAAATAATAATAAATGTTTTTTTTTATATTTAAATACAACCATATTTGCGACACAATGCTACTTCCGACGTGAAACACATTTGTTTACACCCCCCCGCATTCTACGTCATTAACAACGGTCGCTACGATCGCGTTGTGTATTTTAATACAACGTTGAAAATTTCAATTGTAAAAAGAAATCTCAAGAGACTGACACAGATACATAAATAATACTCTGTACGGTGGCAAAAGCGGCTGCTGGCGCCAGGGGTGGCAGTGCTGCCTTACCCACCGAAACTGCGTTACCTCCCCTGGTTAGCTGCGGACGAATTAAGGTTATCGCACGTGCTTTCACACGTTGTATGTAGAGACCTGACATAAGAAAATAACCGTCAAAAACACAGGAGTATAAACGTGTTCAGCAGCAGTTCTATCAAAGATCAGATTATATAAGCTCATTGCATTTTATATGACATTGATTCGTTGGCAGTTGTTGTTTTTGTTGTTTTATTATTATTTCTAGCAAATCTTTAATGCAACCATAACTCAGATTTACACCGATTCTCCTGAATATTTTTGCAGTTATCTTTTTTTTTGTTTTTTATTCATAGCCATTTATCATTTAATAAATGCCCGAGGTTCTATTCTACAGCAACACAATTCGCATATTTGTCTGCTACAGTTTTATTGTCTATTTGTTATATATTGTTAGGAATGCAAGTTTCGCTTCAAAACGATTTTTGAACTTCTGCTACAGACGCACACACACACACACACATGCATATACAGTGTAACCCGGATATAAGAGAAACCCGGATATAAGAGAGATTTTCTCTGGTCCCAAATTAGAGCCTGTGTTAATGTATATAGAATAGACCAAACCCGGATATAAGAGAAACCCGGATATAAGAGACTTCTCCTGTTCCGACAACTCTCTTATATCCGGGTTACATTATATATATATATATATATATATATATATATATATAGTCAACCATATAACGACTGTTTCGCTGTATCACAGCTCCTTAGTGTAGTTAGACTGCTTCAAGCCGGGATTGAATCCCGACTGATTTGACATCAGTCAGATATCTTACCTCTTAGCCATCGTCGAAAGGAAGGGAATTTTAATCTTTTTCACTATACGAAATGCGCCAGCGGCTCGGAGAACTCAATTCAATTTACTTGAAGATAATAAATGGTCTGTTTATTAATTAAATAGTATTAATTACATTTACCGGTCTTAAGATGCTTTTCGTGAGCAGATATGATCGATCAAGAAAAATCGTCAAAGATTGCCTGTTTGTAAGCATTAATTTAGATTTTGCTAACCAGACGTTTCTCTATAGCTAATTGGTATAGCACGTCAGATCAAATGACGGTTCCGTATAAGGACACAGATAATGCATAACTTCCACGAAATTTCTCGAACATTCAGGCTGGTAAATGTAATTAATACTGTTTAATTATAAAACAAAGCTTTTACTTAAATAAATTGTATCTATTAAAATAACGTATAAACAGAAAATATATTAAATAACTCTCAGACTTAGTACATTTAATTGTATATATTTCTGTCATATTTACATATATGCAATTATATATATATATATATATATATATATATATATATATATATATATATATATATATGATAAAAATATAATTATAAGTTATGCTATATTTATAGTAAAATTCAGGGATAAAGTGTATGTAAATATAAAATAATCAAATACAAACCAACGAACATGGATTGAAGATTGCGTTCAAGCATAAAACATAGTGTCAGCGCTTGGTGTTGTCCACACTGTCCACTTTTATATTTACATACGCTCTATCCTTGATATTAAGCACTTTTACCTATGAGTATAGCCTAACTTAAAACTTTATTTTTATTATATTTACTTCCTGGTTGTTGAGTAATGTCGCTATATTTATAAACTAACGTGTCAATTGAAACATTTAAACTCGACTTATCCCTAAAAAAACTGAAATTAATATAAAACCCTGAGAAAGTATCATAAAAAGAATGAGATAGAAAGCACATTTCTTCTGATAGCAATAATTTAACAACAATACCAATCAAAGAAAAATAAGGGTTTGAAACAAAAAAAATAAATCCCTGCAACACACTGAACTCGTCAACTTCGAAAGAGAGTTAACTGACTTAATATAAATATAATATTTTATAAACAATTAGATGCTTTCAGAAAGAATAACTAATAAGAGATATATTCAAACTAAACACTAAATCTAACGTATTTACTGCAGCGGACAAAAGTAGAAATTCATAAGCCCTACAAAGCAGAACAAATTAGAAAAGCATCCAAATTAGAAAAAAACAAATTAGAAAAACATCCAAAACTACAGAATATGATATTAACATTTAAGCAAAATATCACCCAAACATTAAACCGAGATGACCTAATAAAGTGCATTACCAAATTACAAGCATTCATTACACTAAAAGACCACAACGAAAACTTCAAAACAAACATTCAGACTTATAATAACAACTAAAAACGTAAATAATTAAAATAGTACTATAAAGATAAGTCATAACTTTGTATAGTGATTTTTATCCAGTACAAGGCCCAGGAGCTAATCACGGTAGACGGTTAATGTTGTAGGAGTGTCAAAGACATGGAAACTCTGGAAGAGAATTCTTCTTTATCACGTCCTTCTTGAAGATTATTGTTAACGTTCAGTCATCAAAAACTCATAATGTCAACGTTGCTTTTCTCAGAGTTCTCTCATTTGTTCTATCCTCTCTCTGCCAATATATTAATAATGATCTTCCTAAGAACATATTCCAATCTTTACTGAATATCTACGAAGATAACACAATAGTCTCTAGGTTCATCTCCAAAGATGCGTCATCCGTTCCTTCTTGATGAGAGCATCAATATTAAGATGATGAATTACTGTCAGAATGTAAACAGTTCGTTTGACGCGTGAATTTGGTAATGACCATGTCACATTCCACACGGAACATTTCATTTCAAATAGTTGATGCATTCTCTGGAGCCAACCTGTATACAATTCGCAATGCCTTAACGCTAGAACTTGCCCCCATTTGCAACACCATGTTGATAAAAGAAGTTTATCTCCGGTAAGTATCACTGAATATATCAGAAGTTGAATCCTCTCCTAATTTTTCTACGAGAAATCAATCTATGATATTCACTCAGGTGCACTAGCACACGCACAGACACATGTGCCTGTGGGCGCACAAGTGCACACAAAAATATGCCCCTATGTTAATATATTTATACGTTAATTTTATATATACGAATATTTAAGTAAATTCTCTGTTTATAATAAACCGTGCTAACAAAATTTAACGTCCTAAATATCTGAGAAATTTCACTGAAAATATATGTCCTCCGACAGGAATCGAATCTGTATCCTACACTGAGCCGTCATATAGCCTTACGTGCTATACCATTTAGCTAGAGATGAAGTGTCTGGTCAATAAGGTCGAATTAAGGCTTTTAAACTACAAATTTTCCATGATTTCTCTCGAACGCTTATATCTGCTCGAAGCGTATCTTAACGGAAACAAATGACGTCACATATTATGAAATGTATCCAGGCCGGTAAATACTGTTTATCATCAACAGAGCATTTACTTACATATTTGTATCTATAAAAATAACGTATAAACAATAAATATATTAAAATAATTGTCGGACCTAGTCCATTTCATATTATGTGCCCTTATGGAAAATTCACATATAAATAAAATATATCTGTTAAAAGACAATATGAATGTATATTATATATAAAATAAACTTTCACAACTCTTCCTTACAATATATTGAGGAAATTTAACAAAACATTTATGAGCTTTTCAAAGTTCTTATACGCAACAACTTGTCTAATGCACACGTTATACACATAAATAAGTTCAACTCTAACTTCCATTATAAGAATGCCACACTTATTAAAAGAGAAAATAACTTACTTCCACGGAAAAATCTCGAGAGTACCACTTATTCCATGAATGTATTCAAATATCTTCATTCTCAAACCAACGTACATCAGAATACAAAATTAAAAATAACAGGTATCTCAAGACATTCTATTATTTAAAATAAATAAATATATAAATAATTTATCAAATTAAAGTTAAGTAATAAATTATGATTACATTAAAAATAAATATACATTAGTAAATAATAAAAGGTAACAACATTTGCTCACTTTTATTTATTAGATATTGACTTATGTCAATTAGTGTCCTTTATAGTTTAACTCTATTTAAACAGGTTAAAAACAATTTAGAGCTTACTTAAATTTTAAATTTTGATAACCTAACAAGTTTTCCACTTTACTTTTCTTTGTGTTGCAAAATAAATTCCTTACACTTACCTTGATGAAGTCCCTTATGAGACGAAACGCGTTGTAAAGAAAAATGTCCTTTACATACATATATATATATATATATATATATATATATATATATATATATATATATATATATATATATATATTTAGGGACCCTATCCTCATTCAAGAATGTTTGCTTGAATAATCTAGGCATATTATTTCTGTTTATTATATTTTAATCCTCTCAATTTCACGAATTAATTTCTTAGTGGCTTTTACAAAACTGATGAAGAAAAACGTCGTAGTTTTGTTTATTTCTTTTATTTTCTAAAGTCGTTTCAATCTCATCCAAGATTATCTTCACGGGTGAATTGCTTAGACAATAATTCATGTCATTGTTTTTTTTGTAAATGAGAATGAAACGCGTTCCGTTATATTCAACTTACATTAAGAATATGTAAATGAGGTAATATAGTTTAAATTTTTTATTATTAATGTTTTAAAATACTCAACCTGCAATTTTGTTTTTTAAATTGAAAAAAATAAATTATATGATCATCCAAAACATTACTTTTATATACATCTCAAAACATTGTCAATATAGTCATAATTAAGTTTATTCGGTGTTTGTTCCATATTTTATATATAGAGCGCTTTGTGAATTTTAAGTTTTTGCTTTTAATTTTCATGGAGGTGTATACTTGTATTGTCAATTAATATTAATCTAAAGCGCGAATATGGACAGAAATGTTCATTTAAATGTTGAGCAACAGAACTTGAATCCGACATGTGTAAAGTAAGCCTTCATAATAATGTTGACGTCATGAAACCTACATATATATTAGTAAAGGACATTTAAATTGATATACAAATGTTGGTCTTTTGCGAGGATCGAAATAAAAATAAATAAACATATATGTGTGTATGTGTGTGTGTTTTAAGCATTCCCTGTTTGAAAATAGATGAAATCTGATATATTTACATACTCGAATAAATGTAAAATAAAAACATGTTTTATGTTGGTTTTTAACAAAAAACAATCTGAGTCCACTTCAAATCCTTATCCATCTAGTTCCCCCTTCTTAACAAAATAGGGCCATGCTATCTTTGGAAAGATTCTTGGTTACCAAACTATATTTCAATTGTTGGAGGCCCACCTCATGCTGGCTAGGCATTGGCATGAACATCGGCAGTAATTCTTTTAAGTATAATAGCGTTTCTACTTTCAGTGAATATGGAAATTAGACCGGGTTGTTATTCGCGATTACCTTTTATGATATTACAGTAATATTTCGCACACGGTGTTGGATTTATTGCACAAGCCGTTTCATCTAATCACCATTTACGAAAATTTGGACAAGAAAGATGATAAATAGATGTGTCTAGTATTTAATTAGAATGGAATTCAGATAAACGTGTTATTTTCATTTAGGCATTTGTTCATTTTTTTTTCTAATTATTATATGAAACTTTTCTTCAAATGAGACTCAAGCTTCGATCTTTGCTCTTTCCATTTTTTAATCAAATATTTTCTGTTTATTATTTCAACCAATCCTTCATATTTTTCTTTCTTTTTAACTTCATGTCACTTCACCACATTGAAGAAAGGGATTTATTCCATTATTATTTCAATTCTTGTTTTATCTTTGCTACTTCCTCCAGCTTTGTCGCAAAATTCGGTCCAAACAATAGGAAGGGAACAGGTTGGTCTCGTAAAATTAGGTCCAAACAATAGGACGGGAACGGGTTGGCCCGGCACCGCCTACTTCCGGAAACACTCCTCAGCTTAACGACAGCTACAATCCAGCTACAACAACTCCACAGATCTTTGCACTCAAATGTTCCAACACCGCCTCGTAGTTCGCTACACAACTCTCTCTCGAGTGGTCTCCCGCCGTCACATTTATCCCAGCGAACACCAACCAATTTGCATACGCCCAAGTTCTCCTCTCGCCAATCCTCGCGGCTACGAGATCGCATTTCCATAAGTTCGACTCACCGTAATGGTGGTGTTTCTTTCTTCGGACCAATTACTGCCCTACACGCCAGACACAAACGAACTCTCTTATGCCGAGAACTGAGGTTAGTCTCATTTTCATGTCCACACTCCACCCTGGTCTCAAGATCACAAATGTGGCATTGCGGACGCGGTCGTTTGTTGCGGGCACTCCTACGAAGAGGGATTGTCTGGACTTCTTCATCGGGACTCTCAGAAGGGGCGTCAGAACTATCAGCATCAGCGTCGGGATCCGCAGTCAAACCATCAGGCCCGAGGGGCATAGGTCGGATCCACAGTTCATCGCTGGATGATTCACCACTGCTGCTACTAGTCAACTGGTTCGTATTTAGGGCGGGCCGGACATCCTTCACATGGCGTGGAGTACCATCGACCAGCACTGCTTGCTCATTGACGATGCCGGTGATTCGTTTTCTTTGAAAGCTGGTGGTGCACCGGCTATTGGGAGGCTTCACCCAGACGGTGTCCCCTACCTTATACGGCCCTCGTGTTTCCCGCCGATCAGGCAGACACGCGTCAATGCCCTTGTTGCGCACTTGGTAGCGATGGATTGCATTGGCGGGTGCGCTTGCAGCAGTCATGGCATCCTTTGGTGTTGCATTGTATCTATAGACCGCCTCCGCTATCGTGCACTGCTTCCTGGCCGCGATCCTCTTCATGCTTCGGTGGCACCGCTCTGCTATGCCGTTGCCACTCGGCACATATGCACAGCGGTGTCTGAGCCGGATCCCCCACTCGTCTACGAAACGTCTAAACTCCCCGCTGCAGAAGGCCGTGTCGTTATCCGTAAGGATCTCTTCAGGCGGCCCCCTTTCATAAAATATGGACTCCAATTCTCGGATGACACTGGATGAGTCCTGTCTTACTAATGGGCGCCAGATTGCGAACCTCGTCGGTCCGCAATCTATCAGTGTGAGGAAATGCTGGCTGCCGTAATGGGTTATGTCCATACCCAGTCGGCCCCAAGTCGTGTCTACCCCCAGCCGACCCTTCCGCCATTTAGCTGGGGCGGGGTCGATTGACTGGCATGTTTGGCATTCCTTCACCACCGCTCTGACTTCACTTTTGGACACTGACGGATTTGTCAACTGTACAAAATAGCATGTCCGTCTCACTCCGGGGTGCCCACTGTTGTGGTGTATCTCCTTGATTTTGTCCGCCACCTTAACAGAGGCAGCACATAGTAACGGTACTGGCTCAGTTTCTTTCTTCATGGCGCCATACCATCTCTGTGGCACACGAGTGAGCCTATCAGCAAGGTTGCAGTTTGAGGTGACAAGCACCGCATCCATAGATAGGTTGTACTCTGTTACCAGCTTTCTTATGGTCTCCAACCTCCGTCTGATCAGCATCTCGCTAGCCGCCTTGGTACGCACCCTGGCCTTGCCTGTCAGTGTGTCCGATATCCAGTGGTACACACATAACGAATCAGTGTGTATGTGTAATTTCTTAACTTTCCACTGGAGTGCCAGGTTGATGCCTTTTATCACCGCATCGAGCTCTGCCAGGTTGATATGAGCAGCGTCATTCACCGGTCGCAACCAGCAGGCGTCCTCAATCGCAGCCCCATTCTTCTCCAACAGCACACCAATCGCCAGAGAGCTCGCATCCACCCACACGTTCAGTTCGTCTCCCTGCACGCACCAGTCTCCTTTGGCGGGGTCATCCTGCTTTACTCTTGCAATGGTCTCCTTCACCATGCAAACCAACAGATCGTCCGTTGTTTCATCGTCCCAGCCTTTGGTGACTGCGCTTGCCCTTCTTTTTATGGTGCCTGTTGCCACACGAGTCCATCCACACACTGGTAGATGCCCCACAAGTCTTCCACACAGGGAGAATATAGCTCGCCTCGTGAAGACATCGGGTACTTCAGGAACTGCAGTTCCGCGCCCCCATTTTAAGGTCTCTCGCTCCTGTTGAACGTTCAGGCCCAAGACACGGGCACCATCCTCCAAACGTTCTGGGTCCTTACAAGTCAGACCAAACTCAGCCAGTTTGGACCTCACGCGTGATGACGACACAACGTCTTCGTTCACATATATATCATCAAGGTACGCCGATGTCCCCTCTTTTATTGTTTCTTCCTGTGACAACACAGCGTTGACGATGGTCTTCATTATTTGGGGTGCCACGTTCAGCCCGAAGCCCAGCCTAGTAAGGCAGTACCTCCTGCCGGCAAACACCACCGTCTGAAATGGCCACATCGCCTCGCTGACCCGGACCTGCAGGTACGCTTTTCTTAGATCCAGCAGGGACACATTGGAACCCTGCTGGCGCCATTCTCGTAGCTTGCTGGCACAAACGTCAGCATCTGCCGTGAACGCATCAACATGCGCGTTTAGTTCGCGGTAGTCCATCACTGGCCTCACCTTTGCTTTGTTGTGCTGAGCAACCGCCATCAGCGGGATCAGGCCTTTGGGAGGTCCAAGTTTCTCATAGGGGTAAGGAATCAACCAGCCATCCTTGATCCATTCACGGAGCTCCCCTTCGTATGCAGGCCTTATTTGATCGGGCACATGGTACTCGGCTACCTCATTCCGCAGTTTGGCTGGTTCCTGGTTTTCCGACCACCTCCATGAGGTGGTCCAAGTCTTCTGCTGCTGGTCAAATTCGATACTAAAGTCCGGCTGGTCGATCCTCAGAGCTGCACACACTGGGGCCCTCTCCTGAAACTGTACTGCCCCCGTCTGCGTTATGTGAACACCACCTAAAGCTCTGATGGCATCATAGCCTAGAAGCAGGTCAAAACTCAGTGGTTTTTCGAACACTACTAGCGCCTCGACGTTGGCCGAGTTTCCAGTTCTTGTACGGATGTTCACCGCGCCTACCCCGCAACACCTTCGTGTTTCTCCACTGATGGTGGTCACCCTGACACTCTTCTTCTTCCAAGTGCGGCAGAGGTCCGCGCACACTATGGTGCGGGAGCAACCGGAATCGAGAAGTGCTGAGCACAATGTCTCATTAATGTAGACCTGGATGATCGGAAGCGCCTCATCTAATTTCTGCTTGGGGAAGAGGTCGACGCTGGCACCTTGTCCCCGGCCCCGTTTCCCACACAATCCCGGACCAAATGTCCAGTCTCATTACACCGGTAGCAGCGAACAGCTGTCAGTCGCCTCCTGCAGTTCCTCGCAATGTGGCCCTGGCCACCGCACCTATAACATACGACCCCACTACGGGGGCTGGGCCCCTGAAACGGTCTATCATCACTCGGCGTGGACTGTGCAGCGGCGACTACCGGTTCTCTCACCTCAGAGCTGTCTTTCATCACGGTCCTGGCCCGGTCTACCAGGTCATTAAGCTCACTCGCAGGAGTTCCAGAAATTTGTATGCCAAGGCACGCTCGGGCAGTCCACCGAACAACACCGTCAACTTCGTCAGCTCGGCCAGATACACGTCGACAGTTTCGCCTGGAAGTAAAGTTCTTGCCTCGAATTGTTCCCATGCAGTGGCGGGGTCGATAGCAAACGCCTTGTATAGTGCTGCCTTGATTCTCTTATAATCTTGTTTTTCCTCAGCACTGAGCTGTTGATACACAGCGAAAGCCCCGCCAGACAGCCGCAGAGGAATAACATGTTCAATGTTCTTTATGCCAGACAAGAGGCAATGTAATTCCACTTTTTCGACCCAGTCAAGTACCGGGGTTGAGCCATCGAACTCCGGAATCAATTTCAGGTCGAATCTGTCCCCCATTATGCCGAAATAGCTTGTCGCAAAATTCGGTCCAAACAATAGGAAGGAACAGGTTGGTCTCGTAAAATTAGGTCCAAACAATAGGACGGGAACGGGTTGGCCCGGCACCGCCTACTTCCGGAAACACTCCTCAGCTTAACGACAGCTACAATCCAGCTACAACAACTCCACAGATCTTTGCACTCAAATGTTCCAACACCGCCTCGTAGTTCGCTACACACAACTCTCTCGAGTGGTCTCCCGCCGTCACATTTATCCCAGCGAACACCAACCAATTTGCATACGCCCAAGTTCTCCTCTCGCCAATCCTCGCGGCTACGAGATCGCATTTCCATAAGTTCGACTCACCGTAATGGTGGTGTTTCTTTCTTCGGACCAATTACTGCCCTACACGCCAGACACAAACGAACTCTCTTATGCCGAGAACTGAGGTTAGTCTCATTTTCATGTCCACAAGCTTATAAACGAATCTGATATTAAGAGATAAATTCCGTCAAGATTTTCAAATGTCAACAACGTCAGATCATTCACTCCTCGCAGTAAACTTGGAAGGTTTCTTTTATCAAATATCATTAGATATCATGAATTTGAATCCATGAACATACACTAAGCTACCAAATGGAATATATTTCATGATGAGAACATTTTTAGTAACATGAGAATTTAAGAAAATAATTCATGTTTTAGAATTCACTCATTACCATATAATTATCAATAACCTCGTTCCAATATTTCCGAAGACGGTACTTTTTTGGTTTAAACAAAAAAACGTTAAATGACACCAATATAAATAAATTATTTAAATATTTGGAGATTAAGAAAAAAAAGAAAGAAAGTAAGAAAGAAAGAAAGAAATTTGAATTTGAAATTTGAATCTAATATATTCAATCTTTTCAGATGTACTTTTTGTTATATATGACTTGTCTTTGCCGATAGTGTAACATCAAAGATTTACGATTGATAGAACTTAGTCGTTTTTTTTTTCAAGAACTGTTTATATCTTTTGTTGCCAATAGATATCTACAAACTCTTACTGTTGACAGTTGGTCTCATCAATACAATATCCGTACATCCTTACCAACCCTTTCTTTACATAGACGGCCATTTCCGATGTACATTATCATATTCCACTCAAATGTGTCTTTTCTGAAACGTTTATATTAATAAGTATAAAATACGTATCAACCGTCTGTAATATTCATTTAATCTGTCCAGAAATACTGAGATGGATTGACAAAACTGCGGAAAAAATAGAGATGTCTATCCCAGCTTTTCAATCGTGGAAACTGTATTTTTTCCTATTGAATTTTTGTTTTATTTTGTACTTTACAATATTTACCGTGGGTTTCTTAACTGACTTATGCGCAGGTGTTGGAGATTTGCTCAAAGGCTTCCATAAAATCCGAGATATTTTCAATAAGAAAAAAAAGCATTTTTGGTGCTTTTTAAAAATCATGAGGATATTCTTTGGGTAACACATTTCTCAAAAAATTCTTCAGGTGCATCAAAGCCGACTAGTAAAAAACTGTTTTTTAATTAAAATAATTTTGCATGTATTTTGTTTTTGTTTTTTTAATTTAAAAAATGTGTGTATTTTGTACATCTCTTGTTTGAAACTAAAAAAAATGCGAAAGTTAGAAATGATTTATGATCTGGTATTTGTTATGAAAAATATTTATTTACAGTTCAAATAAAAAATTCTACAGGACTGTTTTCATTACCTATTTATAAAGAGATAAGAAAGAAAGTAAAAGATAGCAATAAAATTATTTATTTAATGACGCAACTGTGACATAGTAACAACATTATATGTGATGATGTATTTGGCTGGAAATGGTGTTTGGCGCCCGGAAATTAAATCAGCCAATTTTTCAACAGGATACTTTTGGTAGTATTAAGTACCACAAAGCTTATGGTCTTTCACTAGTGAAATTTCGTCATATAATTATCAGTGGCGGAGAGGGTGAAGTGGATGGGAGAAGCTTCAAAATTTTTAGACACATACGTTTCTATTGAGGCAAAAATATTAAATGAAAATTTTGGAGGGAAAAATTTCTTTTTTAGCACGAAATCTTTCCATGTTGATTCGTCAATTCACGGACTGATGAAGCTACACCGGGATATCGAATTAATAGTATTTCAGAAATATCATATCTTTTCAACTACGCCTATGTAGATTCATTTCAGATTCTTTTAATAATCTCTAACATTTCTTATTCTACCCTATTTTATTCACATAATCCGAAAAGGCACAGTACTTTTTAACTATGCAAGAAAGGTGTAGTAAGTTTATGTTTATTTATGTAAAAGGGCAATATGAATAAAGATGTTTCTACTTTTGTTTATAAATATGTTTTACAAAATAAAATCCTCACAATTGCTTTAATAAAGTCCATTAGACAACGAATGTCATCGGTAAAGGAAAGTTTTCCTCTTGTCTTTAATCATTTTTTTTAATCATTACGCCCCCGAGCAAGGCGTGAAGCCATTAGAATGCAGGGGGCTGCAGAAGATTTGGAGCGAGAGTAGATAAGAGTGATAGAAGAGAGGATGAGAAGAAGGATAGTGGGGAGATCAAGGTAACTGGAGGTGTCGATTGACATTACATTTGAATAGTTGGAGATTATAGCTCTCAGGGAAATTATTTATTGTTTATTTTTAAATTTAATATTTACATACGCTATGTCACTGATATTACAATTTTATTTTATATTTATTACTTTTACGCATAAATATAACATAGCATAAAAATGTATTTTAATCATATTGTATATCTATATATATGTGCGTGTGTGCGCGCACGTGTGTGTGTATACGGAGGTAGAACAGTAGGTCAATAATTTACTAATTTGCACAGAAATTTTCAGATAAAATTTAAACTAAAAGCTAATCATGTTATGGAGTTTATTGATTCTATGTATCGGGAAGGTGTCTTGACGTCGCGTTAATGCCAGAGATATTCTGACAACCATAATCACAGTTTTATGAAGTAAGTAATTTAATTGACAGTTAGTAATTTTCAAATATCGACTGTCAGAAACATATTTGTGGAAATCTTAGATTAAATAATAAATTAGATAAAACAAAAATAGTTCTATGAAGAAATAATATCTCAGAAACTTTCTAAAACAAATATTCAAATAAAAAGAAATATTTTTTATTTAAACTTTCTCTTTGTAGTACTGTAATAATATTGCTTCTCATGAAAATACCACCTATATCCAATAAGCCCTCTTCAATTACGTTTTCTTTCAAACAAGCCATAACAGACTTTTAATTGAGTGCAGAAATAAAGAATGTAATTTAGGCGAAAATATTACTTAAATATGGATGGAGTCATCGATTTAGAAGTAATTATCGAGTAAATTAAACAGCGTGGCAAATCTTCCATCTGTTTGGTTATCAGGTCACACTGTTTAATCACACATTCTTACTTAACTATTTAGAAAGTATATCACAAATATTTATCATTGAAAACAGAATATCTATTTTTTTCCTAGTAAACAATTCTTTGTTTTATTACGTAAAAATAATCAGGACTTCAATTGAATATACAGACACATGGCACAGTTACAAGACCCAAAGAGTGTGAGTTCAATACCTGGTTAAGGCAGTGGAGAACTTTCTCTGGGAAATTAAAAGAAGATAACTGATAACTGACGTCCATTAAACATGACATGTGGAACTAGAACAGTCTACCCCAGTGAGCGAAATAAAGGGCTAAGTTTGACATTTTGATGGAGGCCGGAGCGTACAACGGCCGAAACGTTGTTATAAATATGGCGACAAAGATGAGAACAACAGTCCGAATAATGTAAATAATGTTCCCTGATAGTATACGGTATTGTGGTATATGGAATGATTATGGATAGGTTCTTTTGGTGGATGTGCAAATTGTAACGAGTGTATAGGTCGTGAATCTGACTAGTTAGATATAAGATAGTAACTAGCCCAGCCCATTCTTCCCCATTTTCGGCCTTGTGTCACAATTGTATTTTACATACAATAAATCATCGCAAAAAACGGGACCTGAAATATAAAAAAAGGCCGAATTATTCCCTAACAAAAGCATACGCTAAATAAGGACAAACGATTCCATTTTTAATTTATATGAATAATATTCGATGAAATATTATTTAAGTTTGTGAGATGAATCTTTCTTAATTTTATTAACTTTTGTAAACAAATTTAATAGTATTGATGCGAAAAGTAAAGAATATAGCTATAGTTTAATGTTCATTATTTATTTCCGTTATCTAATATGTTGTAGTCATGGTAAGACAGCAGGATCAGAAGATTATGATAAAACTTGATTTCTGCTGTTTTTGCAGAATATACTGTGAATAATGGAATGTATCAAAATAGATTCTGTCGAATTTCGTGGTTAAGTTTCAATTAGAGAAATTGATGTTGACAACGATCAGATCGAAATATTACTTGAGAGTAATCAAAGTTGTACGAGACGGAAAGTAAACAAGATGCATGGAATATTTTACAAAGAATTTAAAACCCTTGCCTACATCATTCACTAGGGTTTCTGACTGCCACATCTACTAAAAGAAACCACTTATATAAATAATCAATTTCTTTAACAAATTGTAACGATTAATAGGGATGCTTTACAAAAGACGTGATAGGCAAGAGTTCTTGGGAAAAAGAAAATAAAATACAATTATTTCTATTTTAGTTTGCATTCAGAGAACATTATGTTATATAGATGGCATGGTTAGAAGGCATCCTTTATTATGAGCTCCGTCGGGAGTGCAAATGTAGAAATCAGTTGATGAAAAGCCTAGAAAATGAGTTAATGTAAAAGAACGTAACATTACAATCAGTAAAGATCTGCATTGCCCACGTTCGGGGGTCAGGCAAAATATGTTGCAAGCTGACAGGGAAATTTTAATGCATTCCGGATATTTCATATTCGGATTGACGACACGGCTTGCAGAATTTTTTACAATATTAAATAAAATGGAAGCCTTTATAATATTTATTTTGTAAAAAATATAACATGTTATGGAAAAATGTAATTAAAAATATATGCAGTAAGGTTCTGAGTCAGGTTCGCTGTCACATAGCATTCTTCCCAAGGTCCACAGAAGAATGCTTTGTGAAAGTGACAAGTTAAAAGGTAAATATACCTTATATCAGGTCATCTCATAAGTTCTGTCCGAATTTTAATTTTTTGTTAAAATGAACGAAATTTAAAGAGTACTAGCAGTAGAGCCCGGGGATGTAACAGTAAGAGATAGATCAAGTATCGACCATCATAAAGACTGAAAAATTAAATTGACAAAGATTATTGTTTAAGGTTGACGGACATGCATGTCTTAATTAGTTTTTTTTTTTTTTTTTTTTTACGAATTGATCAAACCCAAATTCAAACAAAAACATTGTTTACAATCGTTATGAGTCTATTGATTGGTGAATAGAATTTTATTATAAACAATTGTCTTGTAAATGGAATTTTAAAGCATTCTGAATGTAAATAAAGAAAAAAAGTGTGCAAGACAATAAGAAATACTACCTGCCGAAAAAAGTGGATGTTTGTTTTATCGGCTGAAAAATGTAAGAAATCCGATCCCATATATAAAGGAACACACACACACACACACACACACACACATAAACAACCTGGGTCTTTTAACCTAAGTCACTCCACGGAATCGTTAAAACATAGAGCATAGTCTGATGAAAAAGACGCCAAAGTTTATGAAAACAAAAATTTTATCGTCAAAATGCTTATTTTTTTATGAAGAGGATAGACTAAATTTTTTTTTAATTATTTTTAAAAAAATTTTCCATCTTTTTAGAATTTTGATTTAAAAAAACCTTGTTTCTCTTTGTCGCAACAAGGGGTAGTAAATAACATAGATAATTTTTTAGCGCATATTTTTGTATTTACACATTAATTTGGAAAATCTTGCAAAAATAAAAATAATTGTCAGATGTTAATGAAACTTTCAGAAACTATTCACAGATGATCGAAATTATTATAAATATTTTTTTATTAAAGTCATGGCAGAAATATTTTTTTATATTTATTAACACCCCCATAACTAATTTTATGAAAAACTCTAGAAATTCGAGACCATCGGTTTTAGTGATTACAATAGTTAAAAAAGCACAAGGCTTTGAAGAATGCAAATCATGTTTTTTTTTTT